GATCGGTGTGAAAATTTAAGTTATTTTAATATAAAATATGGAAATATCAAGTAAAAACGTTTATTAAAACTAAAATAATAAAAAATGAATAAATGCTTACTTAGTAATACAAACGGCCTTTTTTCCGCTGCACGGAAAACATTGAACGATGGATTAGAATAACGTTAGAAATAAATTTAGAATGACGTAATTTAATATAATTTAATCACACCTGGTTCAATTTTAAATTTAAAAAAGACAACGTTTATCCGTCCACTGTTTGTATCTAGTCCAAAAAATTAACAATGATATTTAAAAAAAATGTATAAAAACATAGTACACATTATTTATTGAATTTTAACACAGATATGCGATCCATTCAAAAATCCGTTCAAATTAATTGTTTATCTACATATTAATCTCATAACATATTTTTAAAAAAGATGAAAGAAGCTGAAATCAGAATTTCTATGTATATAGTTGAGCATAAGGTCGACAGATCATCTCATTTTACTTATTAAATCGATTTGTCCGGACTCTGATATTGTTAAGCAATTTTCATGTAATAGGACAAAAGAAACCTCTATTGTGTGCAATGTCAGTATGAATTTAATATAGCCGTATATCAAAAATGAATACTTAAACATTTTCCATTATAATCGATGAGTCAACAGACTCGTCAATTAAACATTTGTCAATTATAATAAGAACTTTTGATATTTCTAAATTTATTGTTCGAGATAAATTTGCAGCATTACTACAAGACACTTGAAACTTTCCTCATTGCCTTGGTCCAATTGATGGAAAACATATCCAGCTCCAAGCACCATTTGGAAGTGGTAGTGAATACTATAACTACAAAAATACATTTAGTGTGGTTTTAATGGCGGTTGTGGATGCCGATTACAACTTAATGTTTGCAAATGTAGGATGTCAGGGTAGAATATCGGATGGCGGAGTTTTTCGAAACACATCATTTTTCAAATTACTCGAAGAAAACAAATTAGAGCTTCCCTCAGCAATCATTTTGAATGAAAGAGAAACAGCAGTGCCCTATGTATTTGTTGCGGACGAAGCATTTCCTCTAAAAGAAAATATTCTTAAACCTTAACACGGAACTCACGAAAAAGAATCCACCTTTTAACTACCGACTATCAAGAGCCCGAAGAGTAGTCGAAAATGTTTTTGGCATTTTATCGGCCGTTTTTAATTTTTCGGAAGCCAATGCTACTTGAACCAGAAATGGCGGAGGTTATAGTAATGGTATGTATATACCTACACACCTTTTTAAGAAGAGACAAGTCTTCTAGAGATGTGTATTCACCAGCTGATTGGTTCGACCGTAAAGTTGAGGGGAATATCATTAATGGATCATGGAGATATGAAGTAAATGTTGCTATTTACGACAAATATCAAAAGTTGAAAGAAGGGCCCCAAGAGTTGCAGAAGAAATTCGAAATGAGTTTTCGGGATATTTTTCTAGTAATGGTGCAGTACCATGGCAAACGAATGTAGCCTAACGTACTTTACAACTATTTCGTTTCCGTCATAATATAAGTATACAACAAATTAGTTTTTTTAACAACTTCTTATTGTCTCAGAGTATGACTGACTTATTTACTGTTATTTATTATTTAAAAGGATACATTTTATTAACGACTAAAATCTATAAGAGTAAGATAACTCTATGTAATGTCGAATAGGAAAAAATATAATATAAATTATTATAAATATATATATATAATAATAATAATAAAACATAATAATATAATAATAATATATAATATACAATTTATATTTTAAACATTAACTTATGTAAATATGTACAAATAATATTGAATAATAATTTATCTTACATGAATTACAGACGGATACAGAATTAAAGAATAAGGCCCTCCGCACACGAGGCGATTGTCACGCGATGCGATTTGGGTGCGATTCGGGCGAGATACATGCGATACGTGCGATTTTAGCGACCAGAAGTCCATCGACACGAAGCGATTGTCAGTCGGTTGTAAACTGTCAATTTCGTAGTTTGTGTCAAAATGTCGAGTTCTAGCGACGAAGAACACATTACCATGTATTACTTGTACAGGAAGTTACAAAAAGAGAAGCTAAGGAAACATTGGATTTATCCTTATATTGAAAGGAACCGCCAATGTCAGCTTTTTGTATCAGCCAAAGGTTTACAAGAATCCGATACAAAATTTTTGGCATTCTATAGAATGTCAAAAGATTCTTATAAAACCCTTGTTGAAATTATATCACCTGCCATTTATCAACAGAATACAATTTATGAGAGAATGCGTAGGTGAAGAAGAAAGAATATTAATCACATTAAGGTACGTTAATAACGTTTTATTATTTTTATAATACTTTTTTTTTTTTAATTTTAAACGATATAAAAAAAATTATTTTTTAATTAATTTTAAAAAACAAAATGTATAACTCAATGTGGAGTTTCGTCGCCTTCCTGAGGTGTAAAAGACGATACAAATATACCAATTCGGTTACCATCTTCTGATGGCTGAATATGATTTGATCTATGACCAGAACAATTTTCCGAAGAGGAGGAATCCAAAATATCGTCTATAAGAACAATAGACCTTCGCTTGTATGTTCTCAGTTTTTTTCTGACATTGTTAATAAATCCGGTATAAAGCTATTTTAAAACAGTTTTATCGAGTCGATTCCAGCATCAGAAGAAGTGGCCATTTTAGCTGTTTTGGTTTCAAAATAATCGGCAATGGCTTTTTCAGCATCATTGACACTAGAACTTATTTTTTTTTTTTTCAAAACTTTTTTTCCCGAAGTAGTTTCAGATTGTTGAAGTGATACATGACTTCTGGCAGTTGAAGGACACGGCTGTGGTGATAGTGGTGGTATCAGTTGGGGTGATAAGTCTGTCTGTTCTGATGTTTCGGTAGACTCTATTACCACTGACGTGTTCAACACGGAATTTTCCAAAGCATCAAATTCAATATGTTCGTCAGGAATAGATGCTAAATTCCCACTTGGTATAGCACAAGTTTTAACGAAGGGTATTGTATATTGCATCGCGTCATTTAAATAATATGGTTTTTTGGCTTTCGATTCACTAGTGGGAGTTCTCATTCGCCTTACGAAAGTGGTTATTAAATTTCTCCATTTCTCTTTTCATTCGTTCACTGCAACATATATCGCATTATTCTTTTAACGCCCTACATCATTTTGTTCTTAAAATAATTGCAATTTTGTAATGTTTTTTTTTTTTTGAAAATATTTAGGTAATTAATGTAGTATTATTTATGTACTACATTTTTTTTTTACAGGTAGCTAGCAACAGGGAGTACATTTGTCTCGCTTGGGATGTATTTTTGTCGAGGGGAGTCTACGGTAGGGCGGATCGTAGCAGAGACAACCAAAATAATATGGGATACAATGAAAGAAGTTTGGATGCCGAAATCACATGAGGACCGATGGCTAAGTACGGCAGAGCGTTTTAAAAAATTGTGGAATCTTCCAAACTGTATAGGCGCCATCGACGGAAAACATATCCGTATATAAAAGCTACCTAATACAGGTTCGAGTAATTTCAATTACAAGGCTTATCACTCTATAGTGTTATTGGGATGCTGCGATGCTGATGGTCTTTTCACAATGATAGAAACCGGATATGCTGGTAGGAACAGCGATGGTGGTATATTTCGAGCTTCAGCAATGAAGTATTGGTTGACGCACTTAAAACTTGATATTCCGACACCTTCGAAGTTACCTCACGATGTCAATGATTTTAATTTTCCATACTGTTTTGTGGCCGACGAAGCTTTTCCGTTATCGCGATATTTAATGCGACCCTACCCAAGACGGAATCTTGACAATATTAAAAGAATATTTAATTATCAATTAAGCCGTGGTAGAAAAACGATTGAGTGCACATTTGGAATGATGACAGAAAAATATCAAGTGTTGAGTACCGCCATTCGTTGTCGCGATGTTGATAAAGCTACGTAGCGCAGATTTCCAATTCTGAATACAATTCTGTATAATTATTATAAACCACACCCATCAAACAGGAATGGCGTTACATGTTTTATTATATCATTCCACTGAAAATTTGGACACCGCAGTGGAAGATTATTGGAGCCGTGTTTTTAACATCAAAAAATGCAGCAGGCACACCACTTTTTAATAATTTAAAAGTAGTAATTAAATTCCGAAATACGGAATATTATATAAGCGCACCAAAATGGCACAACATAGAATACAACGGTAAGTTTACAAAACTTTAGGTTTATACAATATTTATCATACCGTAAATCTTTTAAAAGTTCATTGACCCATATACATTTCTTTTTTGTAACGTTGGTTTTATCCAAAAACGTCTTTTATTTTTATTACATTTAAATAAATATATCCAGCACCCAACATTAGTATATCTTCCTCATCTTCGATATCTCTTTTCAGTATCCACATTGTTATTTTAACTATTTAAAAAATCGAATTATTAAAATAAAATGAAAACAAAACTAAAAATGAACGAACCAAGAACCAAAAATATCGCACTTTGAAAGCAGACCAAACGACTGTGAATGGATAACTAGTATAAAAGTAAAAATTGTTTGGAAGTTGTCAAAAAACCCGGCTTAATATATTTTATATTATGCAATTGTTGAGACGTAATATTGTTTAATAAAGGCTAATTACAAAAAAATAACTAACGATTTGTAGATTGTAAAACAATTGCAAAATGGTAGGTACTATAAGGAATATTCTAAAATAACAACAGTTGACAATTCGTTTTACATAAAAGTGCAATAATTGTAATTTAACGGAGACCGAGTATTAATGTATTCAAATAGATATTAATAAAAAACCGTATAGAATCCAGTAACAATATTTAATTAAAATGTACCTATTGTTGTACAAAAATAAAAAACGAAATTGGTTTTAGCAATAAAAATAACACACTAATAACAATAATAACAGATGTAGGAAAAAATGTCTATTTTTGTTTTCGAAACACCAGGAAAACACATTTATTAATATTGGCATAAATTATTAATGTCAGCTTGGTACATAGCATAAATCTCCCTTCGTTTTAGTTTAAAAGCTGCCGTCACCAGATCATTATCTGGCGTCCATATTTCAGTGCATATTTTTATAGCTATAGGTATTTCAAATCTTTCTAGTTTACCTAGATTTGGTGTAAATCACAAATTATTAATAGAATATTCCAGCAAGTTTATTTCATAAGAAATTACTTTTTTCTCCGTGAGCTGTCAATTCGTCTAATACTGCTCTCACTAGTCTTGGGTTTACATATAGTTCTTCGGGATCGATATTTTCGGGATCTTCGATACCCAATTTTGTAGCTTTGTCTAATAAATATGGCCGATTAGGCACAACCAACGCGATTGTGTAAGTCTTAAAATGATTTCCATAAACGCATATATTATCGACAATTGGGCAAGTTTTAAGCTGAGATTCAACTTTACCCAACGACACGTATTCACCACCTTGGAGTTTGACTAAATCTTTTTTACGATCTACAAAACAAACAAATATTGTTTAATAGGTTATCGCTTATCAAGTCGACATTGTGCGAGAAATAAAGAACTACGGGTAAGGAATCATAAAAAAAGTAATATAATGTATTATCTTCAAACGCTTGGCTTGCATATTTTGATATGGACTTTGCCATACAATTTTGTTTTAATATGGTTACACAGTTTGTACTCACTCGTATTTATTTTTACTCTTAATGCAATTAAAATTTTATTTTTGAAAAATACGATACCTATAATTTTTATGGCGCCATCAAATTCTAGTTGTGCAATATCGCCGGTCTTGAACCACCACTTACCGTCTTTTTCAAAAAACTCTTCTGTAGTTTTTTGAGGATTTTTGTAATACCCTGGTGATACATTTTCCCCGCCTGATATATGCATTAGATATTAATTTTTAATTATTCAGGTGTACCCAATTAAAGTAATATACATCAGTATATATATATAATATCTTTGTTACCAATAATAATTTCGCCTCTTGGGTAAGGTTTATCAGTGACTCTGTAACCACCTTCGTCCCAATTGGTTAAAATAAAATCATTAACTGTTTGTGGGGAACCTGCACGACCCGTAGACATATCGTCTCCTACGAAATGGATTCAGTTGAATTTTTGGTAAATTCGAAACGATTGTATTTTTTGAACAACTCACGTGACATTGCACATCCACACGAGCTGGTTTCTGTTAGTCCATAACCCTGTTGAACGATTTCACATAGGCATACTTTGATTAAAGTATGGGTTTCAGGTGTAAGAGGAGCCCCACCGCATATAATAGATTGTAAGCGACCACCCATTAAAGCACTGGTTTTTTCAAATACTAATCTATAAGGGTGAAAAAATAAACCACTTATTTTATATTATGTTTACTCAAAAAAAATATAACTTTCACACTTGTCCATTAACGGAGTTTTAAAACCTCGTCTCATCCATTTCCTCTTATAATCGAAAGCAAATTTGAAAACAGTTTTTTGGAATGTCGAGCCTCCAGATATTTTTTCGTTTATGCCTTTGTAAATACGGTCTAAAATAAGCTAAAAATTGTTTTTAAAAATTACTTTTAGAAAATAAACATTTATGTACACTTATGTAACATAAACTATTCATACGGGAACAGCTGTCATAATTGTGGGTTTCAGTATGCAAGCATCACCTTTTGTGCCACGTTTTATTTTGCTAGAGCTATCAATTATTGTAAGAGGGCTTGAGTAACCGATTCGAACACCACAAAATAATGACGATAGTTCTGAAAACAAAAAAAACTATCTGGCTATTAATTATTTATTTATTTTCAATAGACATCAATGAATTAGCATTCAATATCATAACCGTGTTTTATATTAACCTGCGAGTAATTCGAAAACATGTGCAAGTGGCAAAAAGCCCATGAAAATATCATTTTCATAACTAATGCTCGTACAATCTTTGAATACTTTAAGTGTAGCAATGAGATTTCTATGAGAAAGGTTGACACCCTTTGGGACCCCTGTTGATCCACTTGTGTACATTATTATTGCAATATCACTTGGTGCGGGTAAATGATTTTCTAAACAAAAAAAATAATGTTATTATTAAAAATAGGTTCAAATATAATTTGAATTCCGAAACTTTGGCAGCTTTGCATAATTACTATGGCGACATTTACGGGGAACGATTAAAATTAAGCTATATTTACGAATAAAATAAAGCCAGTACAGTGGGATTGGGGCCATATTTAAGTGGATTACTAATATTGTATCACGCGAAATATTAATACTTTTTTAATTCACCAACCATCGAATGTGAATTCAGCTCCTCTTTGTAATAAAGAACTAAATGAAATGATTTCGACGGAATCATTATAGCCACTTGTAGAAGTTGCATATAATTGATCTTCCATGTAAATTAAAGTTTTTACTTGAGGAGTAAGCTGCAATATTTGCCTGAATTTCGGTAATAAATTATGTGACGTAACTACAACAGTGGTTTCAGTTTCATTTATACCATGACTAATAGCGTCAATACCAAGGGTTGCATACAACGTTACAACTGCAAACAACAACATCGGTTAAACTTTTAGACTGTGAAATATATAGTAGTAAACGGTATTTTGTGATGGGTTAAAATCATACCAGTAAAATTTTGTTTAAAACATCCTTGAACAGCTATCATCCATTCTGCCCGCGTTTCAGCAAATATTGCTATATTGGATTTATGTTGTTGTCCAAGTGATATCAAAGCATTTCCAAAATGATCTGATGCTATGTCTAATTCTTTAAATGTCATCCATTTATAATCTCCCATGATATACTAGAATTTAAAGTAGATACATACATAAAAGTAATACATTTCATAGATAGGCAATATAAGTATTACTAAAATTTATAACAAATTTTCTGCTATATATAATAAAAAATACTTAAAAGTTTGGATTTTTTAATAATGTTGGAATAATAATTAATATTTTATTTAACTAGATAAATTAGTCACAATAAAATTATGCTGTTTATCATTATAATACGTACTTAGTATGTCAAGGAAATAAATTAGCAATAACAAAGTTGTTTTGTAAACAAGTGTAGATTTACGCACGTGTAATCTTGTAAGTAGTATAAATAGAATTTCAACTAGGGGTTCGGGGCTCACAATATCTGACCAATTTATTATTGTAATTACTTTATGAGTTAACCAATAGTAGTGTGTTAATCACTTAACTTATTTGTGTTGTGTTTGTTATTCAAATAGCAAATTTCCACTCACAATAACTGTTATATTATATTTTAGTGTATAGTATCGCAACAATTCATACTTTTTTAAATGTTCTTCCATTTGTTTGAACTTCGTCTTCTTCGGCTAAAATTTCCCTAGTTCCTAAGCAACTGAAATCCGTATAATGAGCAACCGCATAATGAAATACTTTATATAGTGTGTCTATTTTTTCCCTAACAATTAAAAGGTGGCCAGCTGAAGGATCACTAACGGTTTGAATAAGAATTGAACTTTCTTCTATTTGTGTAACTTTTGACTGCAATGTATATCGTTAATAATTACAAATAAAACTAAAAATTATACAAATATATACTACGATAATTATAGTAAAATATAATATTCAACTTGTAGAACAATGAGCATAATAAATGTATAGTATTTACAAATGTCAGATTGACAGAGTAAAGATGCCAGTGTAGGGCAGAGTTAATTAATGTTATTGATGTTATTTACTTTTTTTTTTGCTATTAAATTAGCAGGACACGACACAATTGTATTTTTAATATTTTTTGGGGGTTACCAGGAATAGTTATAAAGTTCAGAATATTTAAGAAAATGTAGCAATTTCTTAAAACGTCATTTCTATATAATGTTAGAAATTTATATTCATAAAATTTTTGGGCAAATTTTATTTTAACGATTCATAACGAAATAGTAAAAAATTAATGGTAGATATTTTGATAGATCAAAAAGTTTACCTATTCCAATTTATTGTGGACCTACTTAATAAAATGTTAACATTACAATAATATAATATTAGTGTCTTATAATTAAATGTATTATAAAAATATTACTTTTATTGCATCAGATTTAATAATTCTGTTCCATGGCCTTTCAAAGACTAAATATACTGGATATGTTATAACATCAACAATTAATGATACAGTTTTTAAAGCTAACAACATTGCATTATTTTCCATTCTGAAAAAATGTATATTAGTATTTATGGACACCTCTGACAAAAATCAAATACATTTCAGGTTGTGTATTAAACAAATATTTAAATATTCCAACGAAATTAAGTAAAAAATATACGAAAATAATAACTTAAAACTCATATAAACTCAGTATAAATTAGTTAATAATTAATACCAATTTGTGTTTACAAAAAAAATCTGTTAAATTTTAAAAATTTACATTACTCTATTTTTAAAGTACTTTAATTTTTCAATAATTATTTTTACTTTATTTACTTGTAATGCATTTTAATAAGAAAAATCATAGCTAAAAAATAAACACATCGAAAAATAGAATATTATAAACACATTTACTGTCTATAAAATGGTATATATATATATATATATATATTTATAAAACCAATGTTATTATTGTATTGTAAATGGTATAAACTGCAAATAGAATAACTATTAAGAAGACAAGCACTCACATAATATTTTGTAATCCGAACAAACTAGTAGATGAAGTGTAACGAATAGATCTTTGGCATAAGTTATCTTACATCTAGCTGATCGATAATATCGGCGACAGACAGTTATAATAACATAAAGAACATGACGACATCATTTTCATTCTAATTTTAAGTAACGTATTTGTAAATTTTATAAGCAACACATAAGAAAATATTATTTTCTTAATCGGTATTCTTGACTCTAAAACAAATTTTAATAATACGATACATTTTAGCTTCGATGCAATAGCTGGGAAGGTATTGAACCGATTTCTTCGTGTAGTAGTTCTTAGGATCAGAAATTATACCTGTAAGGTATTCAATTGACTAAAAATTTAAAAAGTTCATCTGTTCCCTTCAAAATCGAGAAAAATTCTCTTTTTCTAGAGAACGTTTCCTTCGATAAGGAGACGTTCTATTTATTTAAAACGCACCTACCATCTGGAAAAACAACGTCAGAACCAAACTGTCGCAGAACAATTGTTTCAGGAAAGCGAAAAAAGCGCCGGTAAGTGTGCAGTAACTCGGCGAGTTAATGTTTGAAGTTTAAAAATTGAAATTTTGTTCCGGCAGATCTTGGGGAAGGGACTTAAAAAAACAGTTAGATATGCAAGTGGTGACCGAGTTATAAGAACAAGCTAACCTACAGGATTGCGTGTATTTAGGTTAAATTAATGTAGCAATCAGAATCATTAATATGAATGAATAACAAAGGGGAAAATGATAGTAATAGCAATTCCCTTAGACTTCTGGCTTGTGTCAAGGTCTTTAGGCTGACCCTATTAAAGCCACTACTGACACAGTGATAGTTTGCTGGAAAACAACGACATTGAAATAGTATTGTCTGATAAAAGATGATATTTGAAGAAAAATACCAAGCAATTAACAGTAAACTATGTAGATCACATTATAGATGTATTTCAGAATTCGTACCTCACTTCCCCAAATAGTTTTGAATTTGCCGCTAAGGGTGGCTTCAAACACGAACTTTGTACTTAAATACGAAATGTAAATAAATTAAATGTTTGTAACCATGATAACCCAAAATAAACACTTGGTTTGTAACCATGGTAACCACAGTACTAGAGCAAATGGTAAAGGAACAGGCCGATTCTGGGCAAGCTTTTAACTGTTGGAACGGGTTCTGAGACAGGGACTAGGACCCTCGAGTAAGAGTAGGACATAATAACCGAAAAAAAGTGTCACAAAAAAGCTCTGGGTCCGGACAGCTTGTTATCAATAAAAACGTAGGGATATGTAACGTTCCTAAGCAAATTAAATACACGGAAAATAATATTTTCTCTTAGAAATAAAACTACGTACCATCGAGCCTTTGTATGGACAACAATTTTCTTTTTTTAAGTAAAAAAAAAAATGTTTTAAAGCCGATTTTTAACAGTACTATTAACAATATATTATCTAATTTAAAGAGTTACATAAAACATCGTATTAAATATAATAATTTTTAGTCAACAGTAATCCTTAACTACTTGGAAAATATCAGCCAGTAAATCGAACAGAAATACGGTGATGGTCGTCCAATTACACATGTGTTTGAATTGTACATTGACTACGATATCAATATTTGTTTTCCCGGTAAACCGTAGAGTAAAGTTAAGAATTATGAAGGTGTGTTTGGAATCGTGTTAATATTAATAATATGATTAAAAAACTTTTAAAAAATTAGTACATTTGAACGAGTTGACAATTAAATGATAAGTTTAGACAAGTTTTAACCGCCTCAAATAGTTCCGTTACTTAAGAAATTTAACTTCTAAAGATGGTAGCCTGTGGAGAGCAACCAAACAAGTTCTTAGATAAAAAAAAACAGCAAATCTTTCAATTAAAAAAACTGACGGAAGTTAGCAATCTCTGACTTGGAAAGTGCAGGGTTGTTCAAAAAACACCTCGCTGATACCTTTAAACCTCATTCGACCATAAAATCGTCTGACATGACTAGTTCTGTAATGACATACCACGATGCTCCATTACCACTATCTTTTTCCTATCCACCCATCAAATCTTCTGGCTTTAACCTTACTGCTGCTCAGGTTACAAAATGTCTTTCCTAAAAAATATATTATCCACTTAACTCACATATTAATGCAATCATTAGACTTTCTTATTTTCCTCTCTTATGGAAATTTTCGACTACTATACTTAACCCAACAAACGCTCTGATCTGCTAACATCCTATAATCCTATAAGTCTTTTGCCGTTCTTTGCAAAATGTTTTAAAAAATACTACTTAAAAGAATACTTCCCTGTTTTTCTGGCAATAACATATTGCCTAATTCTCAGTTTGGCTTTAAGACATCCCACTCCACTAATACACCAAGTCCGTAGTATCGTAGGCGCAATATTGTCTCGCTTGAAAAAAATTATATTGCACAAGTGTGTTTTTTGATATCTCGCAGGCCTTTGATAAGGTATAGCTTGATGGCCTCCTTTACAAATTGTAACAAATTGTACCTTCTACCTACTACCTGTTTTTTAAATCCTACTTAACGGATAGTTTTTTCCAAATCCGTTTTGGCTCTACAGTATTCGATATAGCATCTATAAATGCGGAAGTCCCACAAGGGGGTATTCTATCTAAAGTCCTTTACAACATCTATGCCTCAGATCAACCCACAACTCCAAACACAATAGTGGCAGATTATGCTGACGACAATGCATTTTATCTTGTATTTCTGACCCTCAGCTAGCAGCCGATAATCTGCAAAATCATCTACATTTAATTGAAGACAAATTTTTGTTTATAAAATCATTAGTTTTTACCATAAATTGTAGAGCAATATAAAATTTAGTCACAATTTATTAACAGAATCGACAATACTACAATGTACTAAAAAAACGACACATGACGTTTCTGAGTACACAATGAAAGTCACGCACTTTGTTTGGGCATGATAATATAATATAATACCATTGTAATATAATCACACCGTAAAAATATGGGAATTAAAGAATTTAGTCGAAAGTATTGTTTACTGATAAGTTATTGTTAAGATAATTGACCAAAGTATCGAGCTCGGGACTCTTTAAAGTTGTAAAGGAAAAACAAAAAATAAATTAGATGACGCCGGATAATACCGATTTCGTATACAAATACTATTACACAGTCGGTGGGGCAGAAAATAACAACAATCCCTCGAAATTCAAACAAAACAGTTAAGTCCTTCATAATTTTTTTTGTAAATCAACATAATAATATACAAACCAATGGTAAGTAAAGCTAAAAGCGGTGTTTACAAACTTTTAGATTACTTAAAGAAAATTATGCATGATTATTAAAAAAATACTTGGACTGAAAATTGAAATCCGAATTTGACGGATTATCCGGAATGATTTGACTTTTGTAAAATGTGTATTATATTATAGTATTTTTACTATACTTGACTTGTAAAATGTACATAATGGCAATATTATGTTAGTAGAAAGTGAATATGTAGGTTTTTTTTCTTGACTATAGATATAAATGAGTGATAATTTGATTACTGTGGAAATGCGCGTTTGTTGTATAAACAACATTTTAGCTGGTATTCACATTGTGTATTTTTTTATTTATTTGCATATTGTAATAGGAGTGTAATATGTGTGCCGAATTGAAATCCGATGAAGAGCTGGACGCGCAGTTCAAGAGTGGCTTGGAAAATATCGAGGCGTTGTTTGGTACATTGAAAACAATCGACGGTAGAACTATGGATTTTTCGTTGTATGCAAATTGTGTAAAAACAGTTTAAAATTAACCAAAAACACTTGTTTTTGCAGAAGTTCGCCTATGTCGAGGTTGGCTGCATAAACTGCACGGAACTGGTGGTGGGCAGAAAGCACTTAGAAACGAATATTTGACCGAACTCATTGACCAACTCAAGCGTGGCTTTTTGAACGATCCATTCGATAAGATGCCGGAGAGCAACGGGTCTTTACCCCCTTTTGCCTCCGATGAGTTAACGGTAAGAGAATTATGCGAATACAGTGATTTATTACGGTTCTATATGGATGCATAAGGCGCCAACATATAAAAATCCATCGCCATTAATCTTTCAAAGAGTTGGCCTGTTTGCTTTAACCCTCACAAGTGGGGTCGTCGGCCGACACTAATTATTTTCTCACATGCCATTCATTTTTTCAACAGCTGTACACCTATTGCCTTCTTGGTGACCTCGTCTTAAACCTTTGTTCTAGATTAGCTATTACCTATTACTTTATTTCTACAACTGTGTAAACCGCAAGACTTAAAACATCTCTTATGGTCGTTTTTAGATATATAACCGTTCAAACATAGACAGCAGTACGTCTTCGAGTAGTGCAGAATCGGTGTACTCATCACTCAGTACGAAACAACACTCACAAATACAACCAGAAGTATACAATCCTGAAGGAGTCACGACAAAGCAGCATACAACAATGGACAATCGAGATTTTGGTACAAATTCGAACAGCTCTACTGAACAACTATCAACAGTCGGGGGTTAGTTAAATACGTATATATGTATTTTAAATTAT